CGGTATGATACTCGTATCATACGCATATCATTATCAATTGAATACCGAAATGCGCGTATCATCTACGAACGCGTGTATCATACGAATACGCATATCATATGAACGCGCGTATGATATGAATACGCGTATCTTACGAATAATGACTCAAGTTGTTGATTTTTCCCTCCACTTTCTTGACAAACACAATATTAAACACGATTATTTATTTTTGTGGGAGAGGGGTTCGGGGTTGTGAAGAGTCCATTTACAGTATATGACAAGCATCATGCCTACTCATATGTCACACCCTATTAGCTGCACAGATTCGGAACTGGCTGCTGATAATCTGACCAAGGTTCACTTGGACAGTCCTAACCTGACCAACTGGAGCACGAAACCCCAGTATGGACAGTCCTTACCCTGACCAATCGGAGCACAAAACCCCTATGGACAGTCCTTAACCTGACCAAAGGCACACCCATATGGCCAGTCCTTAACCTGAACATGGGGGGTAAACCCCCATGGACAGTCCTTAAATTTAGATATATTATGTGTGACATATATTGAGTCTATGGGCCTGAAGTTGACATTTTATGGAGACTTCATCCCGAACCACAATTCTTTATTCTAATCATTCAACAAGAATTTACAAGCAAAAATATTTTCTATGCACCAATAATATCCACAGTGAATTACATACGCTAGTCTACCAACAATGTTTGTGACTTTTGCACTTGAATGTGCTTCCTTGTACTTTTGATTGTTCCAGAATAATGTCCTTGAGAATTACATATGCTAGTCTACCAACAATGTTTGTGACTTTTGCACTTGAATGTGCTTCCTTGTACTTTTAATTGTTCCAGAATAATGTCCTTGAGATTGGTTGGCAATAACAGCATCCCTTTGTACGTAGTCATCCACAGTATTATATATACCAAAACATACAATACACGTCTATCTATCTATATCTTTCCATGGGAACAGGTATATTGTCAATATACATAAGAATGTTATTACTGCATTCCCTAATATTATAAACATTAAAACTTTAACTTCTTTTTTCTTTTTTCTTTTTTTTTAAATTTTAAAAATGGAGTACAGTGAAGGTAAGCAGAGGATAGGTGGGTGGGTGGGAAAATCTTTCGATAATGTTACTCTGTCGACATCTCAGAGTAAATTACGTTATTTTGCATGAACTCGTGCATGTTAAGTGCCAATTAGGATGGGCTGTGTTGTGCCCTATGATTGGTCAAAGCCCAGAACAGAGTCGTACAAGGTTTTCAATTGGTTCACAGTGTGTTTCACGGTTTGTTCACGTGAATGTGTGCTAGCTGGCAGAAGATGATCTTTGACCTATCTGTCAAGACCTTAGACCTAACTGTCAAAGATTAGGTTGATATAAACCATATCTACCTCCTCATCTTACCATCACACCTTGTCTCATTAACTTAAATTTATATAGGCTATAAATTTGCTTTAATGACTCAAGTTGTTGATTTTTTCCCTCCACTTTCTCGACAAACACAATATTAAACACAATCATTTATTTTTGTGGGAGAGGGGTTCGGGGTTGTGAAGAGTCCATTTACAGTATATGACAAGCATCATGCCTACTCATATGTCACACCCTATTAGCTGCACTGATTCTGAACTGGCACTGATAATCTGACCAAGATTCACTTGGACAGTCCTAACCTGACCAACTGGAGCACGAAACCCCAGTATGGACAGTCCTTACCCTGACCAATCGGAGCACAAAACCCCTATGGACAGTCCTTAACCTGACCAAAGGCACAAAACCCATATGGCCAGTCCTTAACCTGAACATGGGGGGTAAACCCCCATGGACAGTCCTTAAATTTAGATATATTATGTGTGACATATATTGAGTCTATGGGCCTGAAGTTGACATTTTATGGAGACTTCATCCCCACAAATACACAGAATGTGTATTCCCCATAGACGAACCCTCCCCCCGAAACGTTGTTAGTTATTTAGCGGTTACCACATTTGTCAAAGTGGCTGATACCCCAGATAGAGTTGCAAGACAGCTGCTGCCAGATGACAGTTAGACATATATTTGAGCGTTACCATCACTCATACTATAGCTGGATAATCAGGGAGGCCAGAAAAAACCTGGAATATACAGGAAACCTGGATGGGGCCAAGACAACCAGCAGCTTCCCCACAAAGCTTCTATCTTACAAGTTCTTAATTGGAGGGTTGGTAACACGACAAACAAAGCTCACCATCAAGGCACATAATTATTTATTTTATTTATTTATTTTTAAATGTAAATGTGTTCATTAAGACGTTTTGCATTAAGATTTTGTTAACCACTCTTATTTTATTTCAATTATGATTGGTGGAACTTTCCTGAGTTGTGTGACATTACTCTCAGAAAAATAGCTTGTTCATTAGTTTAATTCGAAATAGCAGGGCCAAAATGCAATTCAGGTGCTTATAACCAGTGTTGTGATCGAACATCCAATCATGCATTCATGATATTAGCAGAAATTGTAAAATATGTATTTGGTAGATTAAATATATCATGCAGTTAAATGATAGTACATCAACGGATTTTCAATTTTCATGAGTGTAGGCATGCATGGTAATGTTAGTGACGTACCAATCTTTCATGATATCCATCTTGCCGACTTATCGCAAATGTAGATAAATATATATGTGCAAAGTTTGAAATCTTAAATTTCGTTAACAAATGAGCTTGCTTTCTTATGTTTTGAACAGTAAAGTATTGACAATGTTGCAGGTCCAATTAATGTTAGGTTTTGTTAGTTGACCTGTATCTAGGGACGCAAAGCCTCATTGATATCATTAACTCGACGAAAGACACGCAAAATCACTGTTTCTTATTGGCTGTCTTAACGCAAAATAGCAAGATTCGATTGGCTGTTGCATACATTTCTTGTATGCTAAATATGTTGTTCTGAGTTATTCGTTTTGTAATTTGCATGGTCTTGAAAAAGAGGTAATAAATCATTACTATATGCAGATAGTCATTTTGACAGATTATGCTCGCAACCCACCGTTAATCTGCCCAATGGAATTTGTCTTTAGTCTTTACTATTAGTACAAAGAACAATTTGTATAGATAGAAAACCTATACTCGAGCTGCGTGCCAGTCAAAATTGTACATTACGCAAAGCATATTTCGTTCAGCTGGACAAATTAATTTTCGGGCTTGTCTGATTGCCACTCTTGGTCTTGGAGGCATGGCTCAAACTGTTTGTTATAGTGCGTTTGCAGTCTGTACTGTACTACAAAAGTTCACATAAAATTAAGTTATGCATATATGAACTAAGTCTAGTGATATTAAAAATAGGCCTACTATATATCCCAACAGTATATCCAGTATTGTGAGTTGCGGCATTGTGAAATGTACACGTTAAACTTTTGTGGCTTAAACGAAACCGCAGTTATAGCTCACTCGCCGCTTTGCCTTTAATTAAGGCTTTGGCCTGAAAGGAGTGAACGAGTTATGACATTGAGTTGCATAAGAGTTCGCTTGTATATCTATTCGATCATTCTTTCATTCTTTAGTAGACGGTTCAGTTCATATATTCATGCAAATTCTACCAAATTTGTTTCATGCAACGTGTAATAATTTTTGTCCTGGTACAACGTTTGAACATTAATTTTATGTACGTCGAATTGTGACATGTCCTTTAAAATCTTGTAGTAATTACTTCAATGCGGAATGATCTATACTTTTAAGATCAGTTAATAACAACATAATTATATATCTTTATCTGCTATTTCCGCGCACCCATGTATTACTCTCTATATATTGAATAATATAATTCTCTTCATCTGTACGTAACAGTAAAATCTACACTTAGGTCGCTATTATGCACCTTATTAGCACATATCCTTTATGTAACCAATCAAATTTGAGATTTTTGGCTATGCAAATTTTTTAACTGAATATAAGCTCGTTTACGTCCTTAGATGAATATAAGCTCGTTTACGTCCTTGAACTATTAACGTGCGCTCTGAAAAAGAAGTTTATAAGTCTACTTTTGAACGATTGAATACAGTTCAACGTAAGAGCTGATTGAAAACCCAATCCAACGCCGAATCTGAGGCGTAATCTGAAGCCTAATCAGCGGCTAACCTCAAGGTGGTAATAAAATTGTCATTGGAATTTTTGATCGAGAAATAATACACCAGAATGTAAATGACCAGTGTGAAATTGGCACCATATTCAACAACACGTTCACCACCACGTTCAAAAACACATTCAAAAAATGGCAACGGCTAATTTCAATCACTCAAAACGACAACTATCAAAGCGCTATTTTCTCTCACAATAAACATCCTAATGCAGCAAAAACACCATAGAAATACGTAGAACGAATTTATCTTTAATTTGAGCTATCAAACTTATAGCTCCAAGCAGTATAAGGGCAACAATTTCATTTTTTCATCAAAACATAAAACTGGATTTCTTAAATTAATTGAAAAAGTCGGGAATACAAAACTAATCGTACCTTAGCCTCTATTCTGTCCGATTTTTTCAAACTTCCATATATTGTACAATTTTATATGTACATTCCTATGACACTTCACACAAATTATGCACTTGAGCTTAAAGTACAGAAAAACGCACTCAAACTCATGCAACTTTAGACGCGGAAATATAAATTTTATTACTATAATTAGATTATATATTGCGTTATCAGGGATGCCGTGATAAACCTCATAACTCAGCCTCAATTCTGTCCGATTTTTTCAAACTTCCACATATAGTACAATTTTATACGTACTTTCTTATGCTACTTCATTCAAATTATGCACTCGAGTTTAAAGTACAGAAAAACGCTCTCAAACTCATGCAACTTTAGACGCGGAAATATAAATTTTATTACAATAATTAGATTATATAGTGCGTTATCAGGGTTGCCGTTTTAAAACTTCTCATAACTCAGCCTCTATTCTATCCGATTTTTTCAAACTTCCACATATAGTACAATTTTATACGTACTTTCTTATGCTATTTCATTCAAATTATGCACTTGAGTTTAAAGTACAGAAAAACGCACTCAAACTCATGCAACTTTAGTCACGGAAATATAAATTAGATTAGAACGTTATCCGTGTATTCTGTGTCCGTGTTGCCGTGATAAACCTTCTGATAACTCAGCCTCTATTCTGTCCGATTTTTTCAAACTTCCACATATAGTACAATTTTATACATACTTTCCTATGCTACTTCATTCAAATTATGCACTCGAGTTTAAAGTACAGAAAAACGCACTCAAACTCATGCAACTTTAAACGCGGAAATATAAATTTTATTACAATAATTAGATTATATAGTGCGTTATCAGGGTTGCCGTGATAAAACTTCTCATAACTCAGCCTCAATTCTATCCGATTTTTTCAAACTTCCACATACAGTACAATTTTATACGTACGTTCCTATGCTACTTCATACAAATTATGCACTTGAGTTTAAAGTACAGAAAAACGCACTCAAACTCATGCAACTTTAGTCGCGGAAATATAAATTAGATTAGAACGTTATCCGTGTTGCCGTGATAAACCTTCTGATAACTCAGCCTCTATTCTATCCGATTTTTTCAAACTTCCATATCTTGTACAAATTTATATGTACTTTCCCGTGGTATTTCACTCAAATTATGCACTTGAATTGAAAGTACAGAAAAACGCACTCAAACTCATGCAACTTTAGTCGCGGAAATATAAATTAGATTAGAACGTTATCCGTGTTGCCGTGATAAACCTTCTGATAACTCAGCCTCTATTCTATCCGATTTTTTCAAACCCCCATATATTGTACAATTTTATACGCAGTTTCCTATGATAGTTCATTCAAATTATGCACTTAAGTTGAAAGTATCGAAAAACGCACTCAAACTCATGCAAGATTAGATTATATAGGAAAAATTCAATTTCCCAATAGGCAATGCCATCCTAGCCCACGCACAGGCATTGCTCTGGGTACGAGATTGGATGCATGGCTGCCACACTGAACGCTATAAGATGAACTGTGTTCAGCCATTTCAATCTGACTTCAACATCGTGAGCTTGGGCTTCCTGTGGATGAACGTTTTTCTAAATTGCACGTGTCAATTGACATGTGTAAATTTAAATGTTCAAGCTCATTAACTTTTTTAACATTCCTGTTTATACCATTGTTGCAAACAGATCAAATTTTGAGATTATAAATATCTATATAATCGTTTGATTTGAAAATTTTACCCTTGAAGAATAGGAGCTAAAGAATGGTAAGCAAACTTTGCTTTTAAGTTTTTACATGTTTATTGAATATTGTAACTAACTTGAGAGATTTTTCTCATATAGGAATTAAAATAGGAATTCATGTAAATTAAATTTTGATCGTATATCCAAGTTTGATGTCCGATTTCATCTGTTTTTGTTTTGTGTATTTGAAGTGCAAATATGTAATTTACCGTTAAGTTTATCAAAAAGTAAAACGCCGATATGATTTCAAGACAAAACTACCTGAAATTGTTTCTGCCTTGAACGAATGTGAAGGAGACATAACTGATTGTTGGCATAATGAAAACTCGCTGTGGGGAAATGTGTTGCGCAAATGTGGATATCCTAATACTGATAAAGCGAGAAAAGCATTGTATATGATGTGGCGGAAAAACTGGGGTTGTATCAGAGAAAAATACCAAGAACGGTTTGAATCGGCCAAAAAATTGGATGCCAACAATAAGGTAAGTACAATATTTGTTGAAGATTGCCTCCATCGTTTGACCATACAAATTCACGTACAAATTAAAATCACAAAAATAAATTCACAATGACGATGTACAGTTTGATGTATGTATAATAAATATATTAGGACAAAATAAACAAATTTAACAAATTACAGGTTCACTTAGGTTCTCTTCGCTCGCAGTTTCACAATGTCACGCTCCCGAGTAAGATCATCTCAACACTATAAACGTACGCGTTTCATGCACATGCCGATATTTCGTAATGCCTTTTGTAACAGGCACACATTGACGCGAACTTTATACAAGTTGGAACCCCTTGGTACAAGTTGCCAATGTACTGGTACCCCTTGACACAAGTTGTCAAAGTACCGGTACCCCTTGGTACAAGTTGCCACCTTGCATGACCGACCTAGTTATAATATCCTAAAGTTTAACTATATATGTAAAGTAATGATATACAGTTTTAGAATAAATTTTGCATATCAAATAAGCTTTCGCCCGTTCTGATTGGCTAGTTGACTAGTAAATCTGAGGCATTATATAGTAGCAGCCTAGTAAATAATGCTTTTTAAAAGGCCGATTCGGCAAATTTGGTTTCAAAATCGACAAATGATTGAAAAAATCGTAAAATGTTGCCATTTAACTTGAAAGGTAGGATTATGTTACTGTGTCAAACATATTCACGGACATTTTAAAACTTATTTAAAACTCCGCATCCGGAGTTTTTGTTTTCAAAGTTCAAACAAATAGAAAAAAGTATCCCAGCTGTTGGGAAAAACCGTGATATTCTTTTTAAAACAATTTTGTTTTGTATTTTGTAAATATTTCAATTTGTACGATACTATTTCTTTTGATATGTCGTGTTTTCATTGACGCTGTATTGTACTATTGTGTTTTTTGAAACTTGTGACGTGAAAAGTGTAATACTAACTTTCATATTTCAAACGATATAGTTTTACATTTCTTAGAAACTATTTTTTAATTCTAAGTCTGGTGAAAAAAGTCATCCCATCATTGTGTTTATATTCTAAGCAGAAATCGAGAAAAACAACTTTGCATTGTATATTAACAAAGCAATAAAGTCACACAGGAAGCCATTTTGAAAGCGTTCGTGTACAAGAAACACTGCAACACTAAAACAGTAACCGTAAACCAGTCGAAAACAGTTTATTAGTCTGAATTCTAATTAAACTAATAGTTGGATAACTCGGATATTTTGTTTTATTCATCAAAAATTTATACTAATTAAAACAATTATTCGGCTCAGTGATACGGTGAATATTCACCTCGTCTGACCTCGACTTCGTCTCGGTGAATATTCCCCGGACTGTCACCGGTAATCACTTCGGCGAATAATTGTTAAATGTCAACACGAATGGAAATTGGGAAAACGAGAAATTGTGTTTTTTTCGAGTTTTCCCAATTTCCACGAGTGTTAATATAACTATACAGGGTGTATAAAAAAAACTGAACAGATTTGAAATTGCTCTCAATTTCGCAAAACACCTGTTTGTATCCGGTTTATATATATATATATATAGCTTCTTTGGGTACTTATAATGTCGAATAATGAAAAAATGTCTCAAACTCAAATTTTGTGGACCAGGGGGGTGTGTCTTTTCCAACAGACTAAAAATGGCTCGCGCACAAATTTTAAAACATGTAATCATATTTTGATTCAAATTTCAGACAATTTGGTTTAGTTTAAGGTAAATAGTTAAAAGTAACTATTTATTTTATTCTAAAAAATCAGCTTTTCGCATGCTTAATTAAGGCCTTTACCTAATTTGCATATTGCTGACATATGCAAATTAGGCAAATGCATTAAGCATGCGAAAAGATGATTTTTAGGAAAAATGCATGTAACTTTGCGTGAATAGTTAAAGGGCTTAAACAAAACCAAATTGTCTGAAATTTTGTAGAGTAATTAACAACCCGGCAAATGTTCCATCTATTAACTCACAATATGATTACAACTTTTAAAATTTGTGCGCGAGCCATTTTTAATTTGTTGGAAAAGACACACCCCCTGGTTCACAAAATTTGAGTTCAAGAATTTTTTTTCATTATTGTACATTATAAGTACCCAAAGAAGCTATATATATAAAAAAACAGATACAAATAGGTGTTTTGCGAAATTGAGAGCAATTTCAAATCTGTTCAGTTTTTTTTATACACCCTGTATACAATACGGAAAAAGTTTATATTTGTTTTATAATATAGCATAAAGAAATATAAAGAAAGAAATTTTCTAGCCTGAAAACAGACCTACGGGCGAAACGTAGGTCTCAGGGCCTATATAAGGCTAGAAATTTTGTGACGTTTCCGTGTTGACATTGAGTTATATCAACACGGCTCTTAGCCAGTCAGCGTTCAGAATTTACAAATGCTATATTATAAATATATATAAAAGCTTGATCAACCTAAAATCGCAATCGCTATATATAACTAACATTAGGGGTTGGGATAAAACACGGATGCGGACGGACGGACAGACACGCAGACGGACGGACGGACAAAAGGGTTAAAATGCGGATGCGGACAAAAGGGATAAATGCGGATGCGGACAAATTACGATTTTTGTAATTCTTATAACACATGCGCATAAAAGAAAACACGTATAAATCCTGGATTCCTGGGATTTTTACGATTAGGTTTCAACGGTCGGTCGCTATCGTGCGTGTGTATAAAGGTCCATACAAACCGGACGCGATTTGGCAACGCGACGCGAATTTTCAATTTTCAATGAAGTCTAACTTCAATATTTTTTTATGTTTTTCAAATATTCGGAAACCACTTAAGCAATTTTAGCTATTTGGTCTGGATATCTTGTAAATTTTTATCCATTGACCGTTTCATTTGTTTTTAAAAACTGAAAATTCGCGTCGCGTTGTCGAATCGCGTCCGGTCTGTATGGACCTTAATAGTTTATGAATTAAGAAAAACCTATGAAATAAGACATATCTACTCTTACTTCTTTTAGGGAGATAACTTGCAAATACTGGTACCAACATGTAATTCTTTTTCAGTTTTAGAGGACGAATTGGTAAGTTAAATTTTTAAGTTTCTTAATTATAAAAAAGCTGATTTAGGATATTTGTATGCCCACAATAAAAATAAAATATAATTAGCCTCACTGATTGTCAATTGAATTGTCAATAAAATAACTATAGGCCGTTGGCCAAACTTATTTCGCTTCGTGGCACCCATGTCGGAAGCATGCTTGGTTGGTGGTTTATTTGAAAGGCATATGGGTACATTACTGCCAGAAAAATTCCGAAGCAAAAAAGTTGCACAATACCAAGAAAATGGGTGATCAATGATTATCCTCTATTAAATTGTGTTACAGCGAATGGGAAATTTTGTATTCATTCAATTGACTTGCATAATCGGAAAACATAAAAAAACGCATATAAGACTGCGTACTAGGCCAGAAACGCGTTTTTGACAGCGGAAAACTCGAAAACAAAATTACTTTTCTAGGCACTTTTTTGTACAACGGCCCACGGCCTAAACCCACTATGTAGAGAAATTAAGTTCGTTTGATGGAACGAATTAATAATTCTGTTTCATATTCACACTGCCGTATTTAGCTATTTAATTAGAGCCAACAGCTATTTCAATTAAGGTTGTCCAGGAGCAAAGCGGAAAAGTCGAATACGAACGCGAATAGCTGCTGGGAATCGCTAACAAATTAATGATTTTTCAATGTCAGTGATTCCCAGCAGCCTTTCGCGCTCGTATTCGACTTTTCCGCTTTGCTCGTGGACAACCTTAATTGAAATAGCTGTATACATTCACATGCAGACCAACCAAGACCAACTGGAATAATCAGTTTTCTAATCAGTTTTCATTAATTTTCTAATGTATTTTTAATTTTCTAAATATTTTCCGTCCTGCATTTAGTATAAGGGCAGAAAAATAACTAAATGAAATATTTTCCGTCCAACGACAAAGAATGTTTACCTATAGACAGTATATCCTACTTTCTTACATTGACTGAAAGACGGCTTGTGGCACAGGATCAACTACGAAGAAATGCAGCAAGTCTCAATATAAATCCTATTGACGATTACAAGCATTTCTTGGCTGCTTATGATTTACATTTAAACTATAATGCAAAACATAGAACTAAATAGGCTTATATATCTCCTATCAAGGTTACAGAAGAAAATAAAAAAATACAAGTTGAAAGTACTGAGAAGAAGAAGAAGTCTATGTTGTGGACAAATAATGTATGCATTTTAGATTTACGTTTGTTAGTCGGTCATATTTCCAGTTTCAGTTGTACGCATGATAAAAGACGAATAATTTTTTAAAATCTTGAATTGATGGTTAGTTTATAGGCTCAAGCATTCCAACTACAGATTCCAGTTTCGTGTCCTCTGTTGTGGAAAAAGAGAAAGTGAAGCGTTTTGTTGATAATCAAAATGAAGAAGCAGACGAAGAACCTGCACCTTTAAACTTGCAAGACTTCCCAAAACTATGTGGAAAGAAAGAAAGCAAGAAACACCTATCAAGCCATGATGATATTTTTGATGTGTTGGTCAGTGACAATTCACGTTGTTGTAATTATAATCCCGACAGCCATTCCCATGACAAGGCAACGACATATTCATTGAATCCGCGCATAGATAGTGCTGAATTTGAAAATGAGTTGGAAGAGCCGATCCATTCCGGCACAACACAAGTAAATGCAGACGAAATCAGCGAACGTAAAAACCCCATTCTTCGCATGGTAAATAACGAATTAGCAGATGATGGTTGTAGAAGAAAAGGGGTAGATATAAATTGTCATAAAAAAGAAGACGACGAAGAAGAGAAAAGTACTTCAACCAAGCCTCGCGAAAACGTTGTTGGTCAACCGAAAACACCTGTTTGCGATCGAACGTCGAAGAGAACTCGGCGTATTCCAAAAGTCTATACGCCACATAGCAGCGAAGGTAATGTGTACTGCTTCTGTCAAAGAGAGGATGTGGGATGGTATATAGTATGCAGCTATCAGTTCGCTGGTTGTCTTTTATATTACCACTCCAAATGTGTTGGCCTAGAACATTTAAAATCTAAACGTGATGGTGAAGCTTACAGCAATTGCGAAGATGGAGATTCTTATATCTGTCCATTGTGCAATGAAAAACGTCGCACGGACGAGAACGTCGCGAAGAATGATGTGAATGGAATGGATATAATCTCCAAAACCAAAAGCAAAAGCAGCGGGGGAAAAGTCTCAACCTTTCATGAGTGCGTTGCAGAATCGCCTACTGAAAATGCAACAAAGGAAGGGCAGGAAATATTGGATGACCAAAAACTATATACCGAACAACCGGATTCATCAGATATTGATTGGTTGTCTGATTTTGAATTGCACCACGATTCCGATGTTCTTCTTGCAGATATTTTTGATGAGGATAGGTCACCCGGAGAAGACGAGTCAGCGTGTTCAGCAACTGAAGATGTTGGAGAAGATGATAGGAATTTAGTGAACATGGATAAAACTGTAAATGATAAGGCTCCTAAATCTTGCACGGAACAACCGACGGTTGAAAAATTGCCAGTTCCCCATGATACACTCATTCGGATGATAGATTGTCCAAATTTGCCATCAAATAAGTATTTCACGTCTTCAATGCCGGCGGAAGCGACATTTACACTAAGCGAAGATGAATGGAATCGATTAAAACCAACAAGTGAGAATCCAGATAAACTGCAAGCAGCTTGGACAAATATTATTGCTACACGTATGGCTTCCTCCAATGATTTTTGTGCGTTTAAGTTCCAAAAGCACTTTGTTCAAAAGCTCAACTCGCGCAAGAGGAATTATGGCCACGTCTTCAAAGCATATGGGAAATGTATGTTTAATGATTGCTCGTGTAAATGCATTGTGTATATGAAGAAAGACAATGTCGAAACGAGGACTGTAACAGTGGTTTATAGTGGGTATATCAAGCATGCAGCAGGAGAAAGACAGTCACGTTATATCAAAGGAGACGAACGTGACGAAATAAGGAAACTATTTAATAAAGGTCCTGACAAACCATCAGTCGTATATCAAGAAAAGAAAAGTTATCTTTCAAGCGACGCAATGGCTTCGGGAAACAGGACCGGATGTGGAAATCAACCAGAAACAATGCGTAAGATTTCCAGTGAGGGTAAACAGATGTCGCAAATGGACAAAGATCTTGGCAATTCCTTAGAAATGATTCGACTAGAGCTGATAAAGAAAGAGTCATCACGAAAAATTCCACCTTCTGCAGCACACGACGGCTTTGTTCATACTATTGGCATATATCCGCTTGTTGTTCATATGTGGAATGAAAATCAGGTAAGATTGTGGCACGGTAGATGCAAGAATGATATTTCATATTTGGATGCAACTGGAACATTGGTCGCAAATCATGGTGGAAAACGTGTTTTGTATTATGCATTGGTAATACGACATCCTGTTGAAGGCGAACCTTCGTTACCTGTAGCCGAAATGGTAACAAGTGACCAAAGTGCGGGGAACATACGTGCGTTCATCGAAAGATTTCGACGAGACGAATCTCGTTTGTACAATGGTCACATGTCTATGCCTAGGCAAGTAAACACTGATTATTCTCGAGCGATACTGCTGGCTGTACTTAAAGAATTCAATAACGAAACTATGGTAAATTTTTTGGCAAGAGCATTCAGAATCATAAATAGGAGAGAATTGAAAACGGATTTAATGTTAACAATGCCCCATGTTGGTTGCAGTCATTTTATGCATATCGTTCACAGAAAGATCAAACAGTTGTCTCGAGTCGAACGCACAATTCTTAATGAAAAGAATGATCATTCTGAAGACCTTGTGAAAGATGTATGGTATCGCTTTAACATGTATTCTATGTCTTTGCTTGTGAACGCGAGAACTCTATATGAATTCGATACAGTCCTCGAAGATGTTGCAATTTGTTTAAGCAGTGAAACACAAACGGATATGTTACAAGCGGCATATCGGCGAGTAGACGGGCGAATCAAGAATATGGACAAAGTTGGTGTCAATAAACTTATAACGGACTTCCCGAAGGAAAAGGTAGATGCTAACGCACTGGAAGAACTCGAAGACTCATTCGCTGCTAAATCTTCATTTTGCAATCCATTTGTCAAATATTTTGAGAAGAAGTTACAAGATATCGAGGAACGCGTTGCGCAAGATTCAATGCTAGCAGATAACCATGAAAAAACAAATAGAAGTCATTGCCCACCATTCCTAGAATTCATCATAAAGTATATTGCTGAAATGCCATTATGGTCTGGCGTTTTACTTGGAAAGCTGGAAAGGTATCAGACTAAATTAAGTCAGAATAAAATCCATGGGGACGAAACTCTATTTTTATCATTTTCGTCTGCGAATTCTAAATCGGAAGGATACATCGAAAGTACAATGAGAAATTTGAAACAAGAAGATTTTCCTGGGAGAAAACGTTTGAGAGCCGATGTTTTTGTTCACGAAAATTATGATAGAATCAGAAGACGCGAGCGAAATTATGCTGACCGTTTACATATCCACTTGCTGCCACAAAAGAAAAGAAAATATCAAAAGAAAACGAAAAACGATGAAAGTGATAACGTTAATTCCAGCGCGACATCGGAAGAAAAGAGTTTTCACGAAGCTGAAGAAAACTGGGGGAAAAGAGATCCGGAAACACCAAAATTTAATCCCAAAATTGGACAGTATCAGCAATCACCAACCATACCTCTTAGTGAAACTCCAGATTTAAAAAAAACAAAGAATAAAGCAAGATCTCAGAAAGATAAAGGCACAAAGGGACAACTGTCTAACGCCAACTCAGCCAACCAAATAGACGAAAATACATGGAAGAAAAATCGAGGTGTGAAAAGGAAACTTAACAACGCAAAATCCGGTTTACCATCTAAGCAGAGAAAAAATGACGATTTGCTAACTACAGGTCATGGAAAGGATACAGATGAAGAAAAAGATGAGAAATGCAAACGACAACGAAAACGACAACAAAGAAGCGTTGATCTGGATAAGCCCTCAAATAAGGAGAATAATGATAGATACAACCGTAAAGGAAATCGCAAAAACTGCTCAAGTATGAAAAGGATCCGTAAACAAAGAATGAAAAAGAAAGAAAGAGAAGATAAGATCAAGGAATTAACCGAGTGGATGTGGGAGGATCAAGATAACAATCTGTCAACCGATGAGAACACAAGAAAAGGGGAAAATGTTTCGAAATCATCTTACAGTTCTAAAAGACGAAAATGTATCAATCTGACGAATGGTGTCAATGATGAAAGTGGCAAGAAGTACGAGAAGTTCACTGGCTTGGTAAACAAGAAAAATGATTGTTGGTTGAACTGTCTACTTCAATGTTTTAACGCCTTACCTCTTCGTCGTAACTTACTAGATGGAATGAAGGATGTGTGTGTTTCGAATGTAACGGCTGCTATAACAAAGGTGATGAACGATATGGATTGCAATAAACACTCGTCCATTTATCCAGGTGAACTACATTGTGTAATGCAGAACCGTTACAATATAGTTGCTAACGAACAGCGTGATATACACGAGAGCTTCACGACAATTTGCTCAGATGGTGAAGAGACAGGCATGAATGACGTAGTTGCGAGTCACTTTCATATCGGAAGTCAATTTAGAACAACTTGTAGGGAATGTGGATCATTCAAAGATGGAACGCCAGAAACTCACACGTCTTTAATTGTGCATGTATTAAACGGGATAGATGATCTGGAGAAGGCTATTGAAACGAACATGAAGGAGGATATAACTGTTAGGTGTATTAAATGTAATAAAGACACAACGCACATGCAAGTCCGAAACTTTGTATTCCTTCCAGAAACGTTGGCGCTGTGCTTTACACGATTTGAAGTAAATAATGGAATTACACGAAAAAATTCAGCGAAAGTCCAGTTACCCATTGAACTGAAGCAATTAGGGAATATGTCATGCCATTATGAATTTCGTTCCTTAGCTCTGCATCATGGTACTCAAATTGAAAATGGTCATTATAACGCCTTGGTTGTGGCCGATTACGAGGTTTTCCTCTTAGACGATGAAGTTATCAGCGAAGTAACTGACGACTGGTTTTATCGGGCTCAACGGACCGTATATTTGGCATTTTATACCAACAAGGGTCCTTCATATTCCTTAACAACGCACCTGGAAAATGAATTCTATCCGATGAAAACCGAAAACGAAAATAATAAACAGAAAGCATCGCATACTGAAGACAGATGTCGAGAACGAGACAACTCCAATGTGCGAAATAATTCGTCCGATCCACGGTTTACGACTGTAGATGAAAGAATTAACCAGGTGTACGATGCCTCACAGCGACACAAAATAATTTGCTCGCATAAAAGTTATTGTTTCGACGAAGACTTAAAAGGCGAAGATTTCAAGACATTAGAGTATCCAGTGGAAAATACGAGTTACTCATTAGAAGACCCTGGGTGGTTAAATGATAAAATTGTCGATGCATATATTTTGTTGTTAGTGGAAGCTGCTTCCAAAAAAGGAATTCGCGTTCAAGCATTAAATTGCTTTTTCTACACACGTTTAAAAAAATTTGCCATTTACCTTGCGGACGAAGAAAAATTGCTCCGCATGATACTTGAAAGAAATGCCTTCACCAACTTTGAAGAATGTGACTATATATTGATCCCAATCAATAGGAATAATCACAGTCATTGGACAACGATGGTTTTGGACATTTGGAACTCGTCCATTTACTATTACGATCCTATCGGAAAAGGGATTCAAAATGATACTGCGATAAGCCTGATAAGATTCTTTTTCGATGCATTTTACAAGTGGCGTAAAACGTGCGAGGTCAGGATTAATTCCAAACTGATAATCAAAGATTTCGATGTGATTTGGGAAAATTCTTTTGACTGCCAGAAAGATTCTTCAAGTTGTGGCGTTTTTGTTCTGATGTACATAAGTCACAAGCTTGGTTTGCTCACTTACGATCCAGCAAGCGAAATGATATCAAAAATAAGAAATTCGATGGCTTTAGAACTATTAATCGGAAAGCATTCTGCGAAACGTTGTCAAAAGTATAAAGAAACCAGTATTAATATGTTCGTGTGCTACTTCATACAAACAAGAGATTGGAAAAGAAGTGACATTATATTGTAAAGCATTCCCATCTTTTGGAAACAAATTCAGGTGGAGTTTAGGACAAGAGACAGTTTCAAATGAGCAGGTCTATAAGTTTCGAGTAACAGAAGGAAATATCGGAACATATTTCTGTTTTGTCGATCATGAAGATGGCGAAGTCAGTGCCTGTAGCTGTGATGTGGCTATAATGAGAAGGCCGAATTGTGATCGAAACCTGATATTGAACGAGTTGAAAATCGCAATGGCAACATTCTGCAACGGTTGTGTATAATACCATGCATATTATCAAAATTTGTATTGAGTCGTGAGCATATTTCGTCTTGACAAGTTGTAACATATACATGGCCGCAGAGCATGACGGCACGTCCAGCTAATTACTATTTATATGTAAAACTATAAAAGTACTAATAATGTACATGAAAAAATTGTCAATTCTGATTGGCTAACAGCAGCCAATTTTTTCGAAATACAATGCAAAAAAATGAAATATACTGCGAACCTCTCAATTTTTAAAATCTTCCTAATTGTTTTTATTTTAAATTTTAAATTTCTCAATTTTCTTTAAAATTACTAAATGTGACTTACGCACGTGACTGCATAATTTTTTCATGTATATTATTAATAAGTAATAGTATGATTCTTCGTGCAATTCGAAAAAACACACATTCGTACGCGTGAGTTTTTCAAAGACTTCAATTGCATTCCAACTTCGGACTCGTGCAATTTTGATCGTCTTTGAAAAACTCACTCGTGCATGCTTTTCCCAAACTGCACTCGAAAACATACTATAGACCCATTGCACATGATGTCACAGCGCCGGTGACGATGCATCTGGAGGACAAATTAGCAATCTATGCATAATATAACTTCTGCAAACAAAGCAAATTTTGTAAAACTTTATAATAATTTCGTATTAAAATAGTTCATTTTTGCGCTGTATGCATGTGGTTGTTGTACCCGAACAGTATTGTTAGGGAGCATCTGGAGGACACTCTAAGAATTTGTGACGTCAGTGCAATGGGTCTATTACCTATAAATATAAAATTGTACAATATATGAACGTTTGAAATAATCGGACAGAATAGTGGCGTGGAGTAATCATACGAGGAGTTTTAAAACGGCAACCCGGATCATGTACTTTATTATGAAGTAGGAGTGAGATACTGAAAAATATACAGTGAGATGTTTTCCATGTCTTCACCAGTGAAGATATCGATCACGTGACTTTTAGTATTCATACAATTTTTTGCTTGGGACTATATAATAAACAGAACATTACACGGCGGCTTGAAGATATGACTTTTATCTTCTCGTGTTGAAAACAATATTTTACTCCCTCATTGCGCTGGTGCGTAAAATATTGTTTTCACAACTCGAAGATAAAATTCATATCTTCGCGCCGCCGTGTAATATCCTCTCTGATAGAGTGTATCAAAAAAAGGTAATCGAACTTCAGCGCGCCATTGTACGTAAATAACTCGGCGTATGAACAATTTTTTTTCGTATTCCGAAAGAAGAAGAAAAAATAAGCAAGTATACGAGTCCGATCAACGCATATTTTCACCTATGTGCCTATAATTAAAACAATGCATAACAAAAGAAAAAGCACTTAATCACGAACGTGTCGTCGCTTAGCAAGATTTATTACTACTTACAGTCGTGCCAATAGAAGCGTTCCGAAAAATGTTGACCAGTTCATTTCCTGAATTCGAGGAGTTCCTTTGAACAATTCCCCAACAATTTGATAAGTTCCTTAAAAAGTTCCTAAATTCCTGTTTCATTGACCAATCAGATTGCTCAAAAATAAAATATAAAATTTGATTGATCAATGAAACGTGAAGTTAGGAACTTTTTAAGGAACTTATCAAATTGTTGAGGAATTGTTCAGAGGAACTCCTCGAAGTTAGGAAATGAACTGGTCAACATTTTTCGGAACGCTTCTATTGGCACGACTGTAATAATAATTAAGAATACGTGCGTAGTTTATTGAAGTGAAATTCGTCAACTTAAGTGCCAAAGGGGGTTACTTTTCAATGGTTTTATAACCAACTGTCAACTGTGAAAATATGCGATTCTGACTAGCATTTTTTATCGGATTCGTATTTGCTCATTTTTTATCCATTTGGCATGAAGAAGAATAGAAGATATCATTCAACAGCTAAAAGCATGATCTGTCCGATTATGAAAAAGTGTCCATCATACGCAGAGTAATTCAGATCACATCACAATAGTGCGCTGAAGTTTGATTACCTTTTTTTTATACACCCTATATAATCTATAATTATAGCAATAAAATTTATACTTCTGCGACTAAACATGCATGAGTTTGAGTGCGTTTTTCTGTACTTTGAACTCGAGTGATAATTCGACATTACTATCGTAGGAAAGTACATATAAAATTCAACAATAAATGAACGTTAGAAAAAATCGGACAGAATAGAGGCTGAGAAGGTTTATCATGCACGGCAACACGGATAACGTTCTAATCTAATTTATATTTCCGCGACTAAAGTTGCATGAGTTTGAGTGCATTTTTCTGTACTTTAACCTCAAGTGCATAACTTGAGTCAAGTATGGTATGAAAGGACATATAAAGTTGAACAATATATGGAAGTTTGAAAAAATCGGACAGAATAGAAGCTGAGTTATGACAAGTTTTATCACGGCACACTCATAACGTTCTAATCTAATTTATATTTCCGCTCCTAAAGTTGCATGAGTTTGAGTGCGTTTTTCTGTACTTTAAGCTCAAGTGCTTAATTTGTGTGAAGTATCATAGCAAAGTATATACAAAGCTGTACAATATATTAAAGTTTGAAAAAATCGGACAGAATAGGGGCTGAGTTATGAGAAGTTTTAAAACGGCAACCCTGATAACGCACTATATAATCTAATTATAGTAATAAAATTTATATTTCCGCGTCTAAAGTTGCATGAGTTTGAGTGCGTTTTTCTGTACTTTAAACTCGAGTGCATAATTTGAATGAAGTAGCATAGGAAAGTACGTATAAAATTGTACTATATGTGGAAGTTTGAAAAAATCGGACAGAATAGAGGCTGAGTTATCAGAAGGTTTATCACGGCAACACGGACACAGAATACACGGATAACGTTCTAATCTAATTTATATTTCCGCGACTGAAGTTGCATGAGTTTGAGTGCGCTTTTCTGTACTTTGAACTCAAGTGCATAATTTGAGTAAAGTAGCGTAGGAAAGTACGTATAAAATTGTACTATATGTGGAAGTTTGAAAAAATCGGACAGAATTGAGGCTGAGTTATGAGAAGGTTTATCACGGCAACCCTGATAACGCAATATATAATCTAATTATAGTGATAAAATTTATATTTCGGCGTCTAAAGTTGCATGAGTTTGAGTGCGTTTTTCTGTACTTTAAGCTCAAGTGCAGAATTTGAATGAAGTAGCGTAGGAATGTACATATAAAATTGTACAATATATGAAATTTTGAAAAGATTGGACACAGAATAGAGGCTGAGTTATGAGAAGGTTTATCACGGCAACACGGATAACGTTCTAATACAATTTATGTTTCCGCGACTAAGGTTGCATGAGTTTGAGTGCGTTTTTCTGTACTTTCTACTCAAGTGCAGAATTTGTGTGAAGTAGCGTGCGAAAGTACATATAAGATTGTACAATATCTGAAAGTTTGAAAAAATCGGACAGAATAGAGGCTGAGTTATGAGAAGGATAACGTTGTAATCTAATTATATTTCCGCGACTAAAGTTGCATGAGTTTGTGTGCGTTTTTCTGTACTTTAAGCTCAAGTGCATAATATGAATGAAGTATCGTAGGAAGGTACATATAAAGTTGTACAATACATGGAAGTTTGAAAAAATCGGACAGAATAGAGGCTAAGGTACGATTAGTTTTGTATTCCCGACTTTTTCAATTAA